TGCTGGCAGGGCCTGGCACAGAGGGGCACCAGGCTTCTATGGAACTGGATCTTGCAGAGAGACTGGGACTTGGGGCAAAGGCATTCCAGCGACAAGAACTGCCTGAACCAGGTGGCAAGTTGTGATTCCAAATGGGGCCACAACATCGCCCATCCCACATTTGTTTCTCGTCCATCTCCTTCTATTCTTTTCTTCCCTCCTCCCCGTCGTCCTCTCCCCTTTCCCCCCTCCTCTCCTCCTCCTCCTCCTTCTTTCCTTCTTCTTCCTCTTGTTCTTCTCTTTTCTTCTTCTTTCCTCCTCCCCCTCTTCCCTTTTTGTTTTTAGACACAGGGTCTCGATGCTCTGTAACTCAGGCTGGAGTGCAGCGGTGTGATCACAGCTTACTGCAGCCTCCAACTGCTGGGACTACCGGTGCACGCTACCACACCAACTTTATTTGTATTTTTCTTTTCTTTTTTTTTTTTTGAAATGGAGTTTTGCTTTTGTTGCCCAGGCTGCAGTGCAATGGTGCAATCTTGGCTCACCACAACCTCCACCTCCTGGATTCAAGTGATTCTCCTGCCTCAGCCTCCTGAGTAGCTGGGATTACAGGCATAAGCCACCACCCCTGGCTAAGGAGAGACAGGGTTTCTCCATGTGGGGCAGGCTGGCCTCTAATTCCTGACCTCAGGTGATCCACCCGCCTCAGCCTCCCAAAGTGCTAGGATTACATGCATGAGCCACCACGGCTGGCTTATTTTTTATTTTTGTAATGACAGGATCTCACTACATTGCCCAGGCTGGTCTCAAACTCCTGGCCTCAAGTGATCCTCCTCCCTGGGCTTCCCAAAGCACTGGAATTATAGGCAGAAGCCACCTCACTCAACATGTGCCCTACTTATGTCTTTGACATTGTTCCCATCAGGAGGTGGTGCCTATGTTCCCTCCTTTTAAATCTAGGATGCCCGTGACTACCGCAGAAGTGATGTAATGTGACTTCAGAGACTGCGTCTTCACAGGCGATACCGCTTCTACCTGGCTGTCTGGAGATGCTCTTGCTTGGATGTCAGCTGCCATGTTGTGAGGAATCCCAAGCTGCCCAGGGAGAAGTTCTTGTGGAGAAAGACAAGAGCCCAGACCCAAGCTGGCAGCCACGTGGCAGGTGCTTCACCATGTGGATGTGCCATCTTGGAAGTGGATCTTCTAGCCCCAGAAGACATCCCCGTCTCAGCTGCTCTCTCTCTCTCTCGCTCTCTCTAGTCTGTCTGTCTGTCTGTCTCTCTCTTTCTTCCTAGAGTCTCACTCTGTCGCCAGGCTGCAGTGCAGTGGCATGATTTTGACTCACTGTAATCTCTGCCTCTTGGGTTCAAGTGATTCTCCTGCCTCAGCCTCTTCAGTAGCTGGAATTACAGGTTCGTGCCACCACACCTGGCTAATTTTTTATATTTTTGGTAGGGACGGGGTTCCGTCATGTTGCCCAGGCTGGTCTTGACCACCTCCTGAGCTCAAGTGAGCCTCCTGCTTCCACCTCCCAAAGTGCTGGGTCTACGGGTGTGAGTTACAGTGTCCAACCCCAGTGAGACAGAATGAAGAGTCGAAGCCTTGAGAGGAGCGATCAAGTCAGGAGGGTGGAGAGTAAGGGGCCTCGCCCCTTCCACTGGGCAAGGACGTGGTACGAAGATACCCTCTTCTGAGGCAGAAAACAGGCCCTCACTTGACGCCACATCTGCTGACACCTTGCTCCTGGACTTCTTGCCTCCAAGACTGTGAACCATACATTTTATTGTCTGTAAATTACCCGGCCTAAGGTATTTCTATAGCAGCAGGAACAGACTACAATAGTTACTCAGCTAAAGGTGGTCCACCGTAGGAAGATTCCATGTACATGAAGGGCGAGAACAGGACGGAGGAATCCATGGTCAGGGCTGGGAACAGCAATGACCTCTCCAAGGGCCCAGGGAAGCCTGTGGCCAGGGTCACAGCAACGTCCTCTCGATCAGGGAGGTGCTTTCATGGTGGACATGCACACACACCTGACTTCGCTGCATGCTGATGTTGGGGTATACTTAATTGTACAGGTAATACCTTAATACAGAAGTTTAAAAACTGGAGGCAGTGCAGTAGCTCACACCCGCACTTTGGGAGGCCGAGGTGGGCAGATTGCTTGAGATCAGGAGTTCAAACCGGCCTGGCCAACATGGTGAAACGCTTTCTCTACTAAAAATACAAAAATTAGTTAGGTGTGGTGGGGAGGGGGGAACCTGTAACCCAGCTACTTGGAGGCTGAGGCAGGAGGATCGCTAGAACCCAGGAAGCGGAGGCTGCAGTCAGCGGAGACTGTGCCACTGCACTCCAGCCTGGGCGACAGAGTGAGATGCCATCTCAGAAACAAAAACACACAAAAACACTGAGGCAGGACGGGGTGAGCACTGCTGTCCATGTGTGGACAGGCTGGGAATGCTGGGTGACTCTGGAAGCTGCTCTTGGCCAGTGATGAGTGGGAGGGGGAGGGTGCACACCCCACATCTCACCCCTCAGGGGCCGGCTCACTGAAGGGATCCACACTGCCTCCCCAGAGGCCCCAGGGACCCACAGGGTCCCTGCCTCCATGGCACCTTACGAGCTTCTTCCCGCCCTGCCTGGCCTCTTGTACAACGAAAGCTCAGCCATGTCCAGAGACAGGCCGCGCCTTTCCCCTGTCACCTCTAGCCTTCAGAGAGTCCCGCCTGATGAGAGTGTCTTTGTTTGACGAGGTCGTGGGCTACACAGGGTGGCCTAGGCTCAGCAAGGGATTTATGGTGGGGCCTGGTGCTACATGCTGTCAGCTGACCTTTGGAGGAGCTGGAGACTAAGGTCAGCCACGTGGTGTCTGCCATATCCACGTGGCCGAGCCCCCATGAAGCCTCTGGATATTGCAGTTCGAGGTGTCCCTGGCTGGCGATGCTCTGTGCTTGTGGTCCCACATCGCGTGGTCCCACATCGTGGTCAGAACTCAGCACTTGCCCATTCCTCACAACCCGGCGGTCAGAGCATGGCCGGGAGACTGCGCCTGGCCTGGCCTGGGGTCTCCTGCCCTCTGCTGATTTTAACCTGTATCTGGTTGCCATCATAAGCCATCACCAAGACACACACGGCTTTTCTCAGTTCTTCTGGTGGATGATTAGACCTGGGGGTGGTCTTGGGGACCCCTGAACTGCCTTTCCCAACTCCCCTACCTGTGTGTCCTGGGACGGCCTCCAAATCTACCCCTTACGCCCAAAGCCTCAGCTCAGGCCTTGCTCTGGGGACCCTGAGACACAAGAAAAGCCAAACTCAGGAGATGCCACAGAAAATGAATACACGCCACACACACATGCACACATGCACATACACAGGCACCCACATATACACACACATGCACACAAACACCACACACACTCACATGCACACACCCCCAGACACACACACTCATGCATACACACAGGATGCACACACAAATCACACACACTTGCACACAACCACACGCTCGCGTGCACACCCACACTCATGCACACACACAGACGCACACACACATCACACATGCACACAGATGTACACACACACCCACATACACAGATGCATACATACATCACACATACGCACATATACACACACCTACATACACAGATGCACACAATCACACATACACACTTACACACACATTCACCCAGATACACACCTGCACCCATACACACACATCATGTGTGTGCACACACTACACATGCAAACATACATGTACACCCATGCACATGTACATGCACGTGCATACACACACCCACACATGCACACACCACACGTGCAAACATACATGTACACCCACATGCATACATGTGTGCACATGTGCCCACCCATGCACACATGCCACACACATGCACACGCCCACTCATGCACACACACACTACACATACATGCACACCAATGTCGGAGTGCTCTATGGGAAGCTGGGAACGCTATTTACTTGGATTGATTGAGACAGGGTCTCATTATGTTGCCCAGGCTTGTCTTGAGAACTCCTGGTCTCAAGCTCCTCCTGCCTCAGTCTCCAAAGTGCTGGGATTATAAGAGTGAGCCACCACACCTGGCACTGATGTGATGTCATTAAAAAAAAAACCAACACAATATTGCCTCTCACCTTAGAGATACGTTATCACCAGGATCCTACAGCTTGGGACTCAAAGGAGCTCCATGGGACCTCGGAGCCCAGGCCTGGGCCATGCTGAAGCCTACACACAGGCTGAAAAGACGGGGCTCAAGACCTCCAAGGCGGCCTGCACACCAGACCGGCTCTTCCACGTCAAGCGTCTCTCTTTTTTTTTTTTTTTTTTTTTTGAGGCGGAGTTTCGCTCTTGTTACCCAGGCTGGAGTGCAATGGCGCGATCTCGGCTCACCGCAACCTCCGCCTCCTGGGTTCAGGCAATTCTCCTGCCTCAGCCTCCCGAGTAGCTGGGATTACAGGCACGCGCCACCATGCCCAGCAAATTTTTTGTATTTTTAGTAGAGACGGGGTTTCAGCATGTTGACCAGGATGGTCTGGATCTCTCGACCTCGTGATCCACCCGCCTCGGCCTCCCAAAGTGCTGGGATTACAGGCTTGAGCCACCGCGCCCGGCCTAAGCGTCTCTCTTAAACCCACGCTCTACCTCGTGTGCTCCATCGCCTCCTCCTCACCCAAGTAGCAGGATTCACTGAGGCCAGGCGCGGTGGCTCACATCTGTAATCCCAGCCCTTTGGGAGGCTGAGGTGGGTGGATCACCTGAGGCCAGGAGTTCGAGACTAGCCTGGCCAACATGGTGAAACCCCACCTCTACTAAAAATGCAAAAATTAGCTGGGTGTAGTGGCTCCTGCCTGTAATTCCAGCTACTGAGGGGGCTGAGGCAAAAGAATCACTTGAACCCAGGAGGCGGACGTTGCGATGAGCCGAGTTCAGGCCACTGCACTCCAGCCTGGGAGACAATAGGGAGACTCCATGTCATGAAAAAAAGAAAGAAAAAAAAAAAAGGGATTCACCAATTGTTACAGAGGATCTTTATTTATAATGCAAAAAAGAAATTATAAATCCCATTTTGGACTGTTTAGATATCTGTAAAACAACACATAAAAAACAGCCACTCCGTCTGCAAGAAGTTCTTGTTTGTGTTGATGGCAGAGACCCACGTTTGCCCGGCCCAGGGGACTGGGAGGGTGTGTTTGTCCAGAAAAAAAGCCTTTCCCTGGGACCCGGACAGCCAGGACCATGGCGCTCTCTCTTACCAGGCCAGAGTCAGCAAGAACCTGGAGGCGTCAGAGGTGCGTCCACTCAGCGGGGCCTGGGAAACCCTGTTGTGGAAGCAGGCAGGCCGGATTCCTCGCTGGTCCTGACACATCTTTCTGAGCGGTGGCCGGGATTTGCTCTGTTCCCATCCAGGGTGCTCAGCCCACCTTCCCCAGGCAGCCACGCCCCCGGACACCTGAAGCCAGGATGCTGGAGCGAGAGTCCACCAGGCAATTCGATGACACCACCTCAGGCTTCCGGGTCGATTTCTCCATCATCCGGGCATGACCCTGTCTCATCCAGCCAGACTAGGAGAAAGAGGGATGGACACCTGGATGCACCCTGCCCCCACCATACCCAGGCCTGCTTCCCTGGGGGCTGCAGGGCAGGGGCCTCTGGGCGTTCTTGTTTTCTGGAGCTGCCAGAGGCTGAGACGGGACCCAGTGATGGTGGATCCTTCTGGGTGAATCAGACCCTGGAGATGCTTAAATTTAAGAGAAACCCCTCCCAGGATTCAGGAACCTCCCTGGGGCTTGGACCTTGGAGAGTAACCCTGTGTCTCTGCTGTGCCCACACTGGTCCTGGGAGCAGGGAAGATGGTATGATCCCACTTTATAGGTGTGGACACAGGCTCAGAGAGGGAAGGGACCAGAAAAAAAGCTGGTCCTTAGCAGCTGAGCTAAGGACCGGGCCTCCGTCCGCCCACACTTGCTTCTCTGCTTAGACACCACTGCGGCGCAGGAGGGAAACTGCGGCAGGAGCCCAGCTCTTCTCCCACCTTGCTGTGTGCCCCTGGGTGGGGCACTGTCCCTCTCTGGACCTGTTTGTTTCCCCATTTCTTTTCCTTTTCCTTTTTCTTTCTTTCTTTTTTTTTTTTGAGACGGAGTTCCGCTCTTGTTACCCAGGCTGGAGTGCAATGGCGCGATCTCGGCTCACCGCAACCTCCGCCTCCTGGGTTCAGGCAATTCTCCTGCCTCAGCCTCCTGAGTAGCTGGTATTACAGGCACGTGCCACCATGCCCAGCTAGTTTTTTTTGTATTTTTAGTAGAGACGGGGTTTCACCATGTTGACCAGGATGGTCTCGATCTCTCGACCTCGTGATCCACCCGCCTCGGCCTCCCAAAGTGCTGGGATTACAGGCTTGAGCCACCGCGCCCGGCCTTTTCCTTTTTCTTTCTTTGAGATGGGTTTTCACTCTCGTTGCCCAGGCTGGAGTGCGATGGCACGATCTCGGCTCACTGCAACCTCTGCCTCCTGGGTTCCAGCGATTCTCCTGCCTTAGCCTCCAGGGTAGCTGGGATTACAGGCGCCCACCGGTACACCTGGCTAATGTTTTATACTTTTAGTAGAGACAGGGTTTCTCCATGTTGGTTAGGCTGCTCTTGAACTCCCGACCTCAGGTGATCTACCTGCCTCGACCTCCCAAAGTGCTGGGATTATAGGCATGAATCATGGAGGCTGGCTTGTTTCCCCATTTCTATACTAGAGATAAGGGTTGTCCTCACGACACCATGGTTGGAATGAGAATTCAATGAGATTTATGAAAGCATTTAGCCAGCGCCGTGCACTCGGAAACATCACAGAGGAATGTGACCCATTGCAGCCACCATAGCACCTGCACTGGCCCAGCCCGGGGGCCTGACAGTTTTCCCTGTCACTCGCTCTGCTGGGCAAGCAGAGACCCAAACTCAGGACATTTGGAAAGCGTCTATGGAGTCCCCCTCCCAGACAGCCTTCCACACACCCCACACAAGCCTCATGGGTGCCGTGTGCCCTGCACGGGTCCAGGAGGACCCACGTCACGATGGCTGTCAGCTGATTGGTGCCACCTGCAGGGAGAGCATCTGGCCTGGGGGCCGTGGGGCAAAGCGCAGATCACATAGCCTGGGGCTGTATCCCTGCTGCACCATGGACCAGCAGCATGGCAAGTGTCTCAACCTCTCTAAGCCTCAGTTTACCCATTTCTAAAATGGGGATGTGGCTGGGTGCAGTGGCTCACGCCTGTAATCCCAGCACTTTGCGAAGCCCAGGTGGGTGGATCACCTCAGGTCAGGAGTTTTGAGACCAGCCCGGCCAACATGGTGAAACCCCATTTCTACTAAAATACAAAATTGGCCAGGCCTGGTGGTAGGTGCCTATAATCCCAGCTACTCAGGAGGCTGAGGCAGGAGAATCACTTGAACGCGGGGAGGCGGAAGTTGCAGTGAGCCAAGACCATGCCACTGCACTTCAGCCTGGGCAACAGAGCTAAACTCCATCTCAAAAAATAACTAAAAATTGCTCAGGCGAAGTGGCTCACGCCTGTAATCCCAGCACTTTGGGAGGCCGAGGCAAGTGGATCACCTGAGGTCGGGAGTTGGAGACCAGCCTGACCGACATAGAGAAACCCCTGTCTCTACTGAAAATACAAAACACAGCTGAGCATGGTGGTGGTGCATGTCTGCAATCTTAGCTACTGAGGAGGCTGAGACAGGAGAATCGCTTGAACCCGGGAGGTGGAGGTTGGAAGTTGCAGTGAGCTGAGATAGCATCACTGCACTCCAGCCTGGGTGACAGAGACAGACTCTGTCTCAAACAAACAAACAAAAAAGAAAATCTATTCATGACACTCAGTACAGTCCTACCTATCAGGACCTGGTATCACCATTATTGTTATTATCATTCACAGCAGCAGCCTTAATACCTGGCACAGGCCCAGCTCAATACATCTCTGCTCAATGACCACGTGAACAAGTTGTCCCACCAGCTCCAGAGGGGCAGGTGGGAGTGCCGATTTGGGGTTCTGTCTCCCACCTTCTCCCCGTTCCCAGCAGCGAGCTGCACCTGGAAGGCCCAGGGTCCAGCGCCGCCTTGGCATGGGCATGGCTGTTTTTCCAAGTCTGTCCTGTCCAGCCAGACGGCAGCGACCAACAAGATGGAGCAGCGGTCCTTCCGCTGGCAGGGGAAGGAGCATCCATCAATTACCTTGGCTGGCAGGAGCCGAGGCGTGGCGGGCCAGCCCGGCTCCATCCATCAACTGGCTGGCAGGGGCTGTCTACTAATTACTTAACACGCCACATCGCACTGAGGCTGGCGCCTTGGCGGGGGGCTGACGGTGCAGTGTACTCAGGTCTGACCATAATTGGTTAATGAACCCGGGGGAGGTGAGGATGCAAGCTCAGCCCCGTGGCCCAGAAGGACGCCCCTGAGAACTGTCTCTGCCGGGCCCCCAGACCCGACCCGGCTTGATGGCGCAGGGGGCGGCCTCACCTGAGTTCTCTGAGTCCCTGGGCAGCATCATGCCTGTGGGGGTGGGGGGCGTGATGATGATGTCGGGCACGTCCAGGTTCTTGTCGTTCAGGACGGGAGCCTCGTCGTGGCTGCTGCTGCTGCTGCTGACACACATTTTAAAGCCTGAGAAGCCAGGCGTAGAGCACACACGCACGTACACACACGACAGAGAGACAGGGTCAGTGGCCGCCGGGAACGTGGGCTGCCCCCATTCACCATCACTTGAGTCCCGACGCCTCACAGATGAAAACCTGAGCCTCAGAAATGCTAACTGAGCCCCCATCATATCTCACAGAACCATGAGTCAGGAAAAAGATTTTGGGAAATGCTGCTCACAGGCTAGTCAGCCTCTGGGTCCAATTTTCGGCCTTCACTGTGTGGCCCAGCTAATTCCAGCCTCACTCCCGGCCACCAGCCCCTACACTCCAAAGCACTCATCCTTCCCCAGACCCCCCGGGCTCCCTGCACTCCAAAGCACCCATACTTCCCCAGACTCCCCGGGCTCCCTGAGCCCCTTCGTGCCTTTGCACATGCTGTTCCCCTGGTCTGGGACGCTCTTTCTTTCTCTGCCAGAGTAACAAGCTCCTACTTATCCTTCAAAGCCCAGTGCAAAAGGCTCTTCCTTGGGAAAGGCATCCCGGCAGATCTGCGGCTCCCTCTTTCGCCCGTCTGCACTCACTCATTCGTCAATGAATGACTTTGTGTTTTTGTTTTGTGTTTTGTTTTGTTTTTTCATTTCTGTCACTCTTTGCTGTGAACACCAGGAGGACAGTCACTATTTCATTCACCTGTGTTTCCCTTGAGCCTAGGACATGCTCGTGACAGAGTAAGTAGGATGCTTTCCATTCTAAATGCTGGCCGGGAGTGGTGGCTCACACCTGTAATCCCAGCACTTTGGGAGGCCGAGGTGGGTGGATCACCTGAGGTCAGGAGTAGGAGACCAGCTTCACCAACATGGTGAAGGCCAGCCTCTACGAAAAATACAAAAATTAGCCAGGTGTGGTGGCACACACCTGTCTGTAGTCCCAGCTACTCGGGAGGCTGAAGCAGGAAGAGAATTGCTTGAACCTGGGAGGCAGAGGTTGCAGTGAGCTGAGATTGCTCCACTGCACTCCAGCCTAGGTGACGGAGTGAGACTCTGTCTTAATTTAAAAAAAAAAGCGGGAGGGCAGGTGAGGTGGCTCACACCTGTAATCCCAGCACTTCGGGAGGCCAAGGTGGGTGGATCACGAGGTCAAGAGATTGAGAACATCCTGGCCAACATGGTGAAACCTGTCTCTACTAAAAATCCAAAAATTAGCCGGGCATGGTGGTAGACACCTGTAGTCCCAGCTACTCAGGAGGCTGAGGCAGGAGAATCGCCCGGGAGGTGGAGGTTGTAGCGAGCCGAGATCGCACCAGTGCACTCCAGCCTGGCAACAGAGTGAGACTCCATCTCAAAAAAAAAAAAAAAAAAAAAAAGAAATAAAATTTAAATGCAACCAGAACCATCAGGCACCATTAAGCTACATGTTACAATCTTTGTCTCTGTACCCCTTCACTTTGGCTTTGCCCCAAACAGTGCCAGGCTAGGATTAAAGTAGCTCAAGCGTCAGAGCCTCTGACTGACAGGAGGAGCTGAGTAATAAGGGGTTGCAGGGGGGCCTATTTTTCCTAATGGTCTCAGGCCTCCCTTGACCACCATCAGGACAATGTTCCTAAGTGACCATTGTAGGGTCAGTGTGGAGGTTCTAAAATATGGCCCTAAGAGGTGGAGTGTAAGATGGACTTAGTGACTTGCTTACAACAAACAAAATAGGACAGACGTGATGGTGTGTGACTTCCAAGGTGAGGTCACAAAAGACACTGCAACTTCCTTCTTACTCTCTCTTAGACCACTTGCTCTTGGGGAAGCCAGTCGCCACGTTCGGAGGATGTTCAAGTGGCCCATGGAGAAGCCCATGTGGGTGAGGAATTAAGACCTCTAGCCAACAGCCACGAGGGAGCCCCCTCAGCAGCGGAGCCTCCAGCCCCAGTCCAGCCGTCAGATGAGACTACAGCCCTGGCTGACATCCCAGATGTAACATCATGATCGACCCTGGGCCAGAACCATGCAGCTAAGCCACTCCTCAATTCCTGACCCACAGAAACTCTGAGATAATACAGGTTTGATGTTGAAGCTGCAAAGTTTTGGCATAGTTTGTTAAGCAGTGATAGATGACTGACAGAGTCAGCAAATCTTTCCCAGGCCTCGGGGGGAGGGGAGGGCAGCTGCACAGTGGGGATCGCATACCTGCCTGTGGGGAAATCACAGGGGGCTTCTCAGGGCTACCTTTGTTCACCAAAGGGGTGTTCCTCTGAGGGGCAGGTTACCCCTGGGCTGTCCGGGACAGTCTGTTTGAATCCACAAAAAGCATGTGCACCGAGGGGACCTGAAGCCATGCCATTCAGGCCAAACACTTGGTTCACCTGCCCCTTGACCAAGGCTGTAGGCTCAGAAAAACTGAAGGCAGCAGGCACAATGACTTTGGACTCAGGCCACTGGCTGTGTGACCCTGGGTGCACTGCACCTCCTCTCTGAGCCCTTTGCATAGTAAAGAATCTGGCCCAGCATGGTGCCTCACACCTGTTACCCCAGCACTTTGGGAGGCCAAGGCGGGCGGATCCCCTGAAATCAGGAGTTCAAGACCAGCCTGGCCAAGATGGTGAAACCCTATCTCTACTAAAAATACAAAAAATTAGCTGGGCATGGTGGCGGGTGGCTGTAGTCCCAGCTACTCCGTGGGCTGAGGCAGGAGAATCACTTGAACCCAGGAGACAGAGGTTGCAGTGAGCCAAGATCGCGCCACTGCACTCCAGCCTGGGTGACAAGAGCGCAACTCCATCTCAAAAAAGAAAAAAAAAAAAAGAAAAAGAATTTCACCTTGCCTAAAAAGAGGTCTGATTTCTGTCCACAGTTTCTGGGAGGTACTCTCTCAGCCCTTGGAATATCCTGCCTGATAGGAAAGTCTTTGTTTGCCGGAGGCCTTGGGTACACTGGGCGTCCAAAGATGTGATTGATGGTGGGGGCCCTGGGTCATGCCCAGAGAGACGGCAGCCTGCAGCCTGAGCTCCAAGTGAGCGATCAATCAGCCTCCAGAGGAGCCCCCGTGCCTTCGTCTCCTGGGGTTGCCACAGCAAAGCACCATCAGCTGGGGAGCTGGAACAACGGACATTCATTGTCTGACAGATCTGGAGGCCAGAAGTTCCAGATCCAGGTGTCAGCAGGGCTGGATCCTCTGGAGGCTGCAAGGGGACTGTTCCAGGCCCCTCTCCTGGCTTCTGGTGGCTGTTGACAATCTGGCGTTCCTAGGCTTGAAGAAGCATCCGCCACCTCTGCCTCTCGCCTTTCACACTGTTTCTCCCTGTGTCCTGTCTCTGTCCAGATTTCTCCTTTTTGTTTTTTAGATGGATCTCACTCTGTTGCCCAGGCTGAAGTACAGGGGGATGATCTCGGCTCACTACAACCTCCACCTCTTGGGTTCAAGCAATTCTCCTGCCTCCGCCTCCCGAGCAGCTGTGATTACAGGCATGTGCCACTGTGGCCAAATAATTTTTGTATTTTTAGTAGAGACAGGGTTTCACCGTGTTGGCCAGGCTGGTCTCGAACTCCTGACATCAGGTGATACGCCCGCCTCGGCCTCCCAAAGTGCTGAAATTACAAGCATGAGCCGCCAAGCCCGGCCCAGATTTCCCCTTCTGATAAGGACACCCGTCCTTTTGTATCAGGAGCTCACACTACTAAAATGACCTCATCTTAGCTCACGACACCTGCAAAGACACTACTCCCAACAAGGTCACATTCTGAGGCCCTGGAGGCCAGGAGGATTACTTAGGAATTTTTGAGAGACACAGATCAACCCATAATGCCCCGTAAGAACTGTGTCCACTGAGGCCAGGGGCTTCCCACCTGGCGATGCTCTGTGCCGTCACGCACCATCGTCACTGGCGGGAAGAGTGGGCGCTGTCCACAGCTCCATAGGGAGGGACGGCAGGAGCCTGTGCCTGGGGCCTCCTGGGATCTGCCCTGTGAGCACCTTCCCTTTCCTCTTTGATCTGGGTCCCTTCCCTGGAATGAGCCATAACCAAGAATCAAAGCCTCCAGTGAGTTCTGTGAGCCCTTTCAGCAAATGAGTCAACATGAGGGTGTTTGCGGAACCCCCAAATTCGTAGCTGGCGGCAGAAGGGTAGGTAGTCTCGTGCACCCCTCCACGTGGCGGTGAGTCTAACTCTTCACAGACTTCTTGTTTTCATGGACAAGCTGAGGGTGTTGGTGGGGCAATCAGCCGCCTCCCTGGGCTGGGGAGAGACTGCCATGGTCCCTAGTACACACAGCTGGAGTGAGGTGACCATGACGAGCCACCTTCGTTCTATGCACCGCCACTGACTTCCCTCACCTGATTCTCAAACCCACAGTGACCAGCATCCTCCCTTCCCCCCAGACACTGCCTCCCCGCCCCGCCACTGTCACCTTCCCACCCTCTGAACCCCAACGCTGTTCCCTCCTTTGGAAGACTCCTGGCCCCTGACTGGATAGTTTGTAGGAAGAGGCGACCTTTCCCTGACACAATGCCAAGCCTCTCTGCAGGCCTAATGCAATGATTTGTGAACGTTCTTTTTTGCGACAGAGTTTTGCTCTGTCACCCAGGCTGGAGTGCAGTGGTACCATCTCTGCTCACTGCAACCTCCACCTCCCAGGTTCAGGCAATTCTCCTGTCTCAGCCTGCTGAGTAGCCAGGATTACAGGCGCACACACCATGACGCCTGGCTAATTTTTGTATATTTAGTAAAGACGGGGTTTTGACATGTTGGCCAGGCCGGTCTCAAACTGCTGACCTCAGAGGATCCGCCCGCCTCAGCCTCCCAAAATGCTGGGATTATAGGTGTGAGACACCACGCCCAGCCGAACCTTCTTTAAAGAAGAGAACGTTTCTCCTGCAATCTTGCAAAGAAGCCCAGAGTGTGAAACAAATCAAAGGAAGCCACTTGGAGAGAGGCACCCCTACCCCAAATAACCCCAAACAAAGGGACATGCTGCCACCGCACAGAAAAGCTACTGGGGCCAAGAGCGTGAGTCCTTCAGGCCCCACTGCCACCGCGCTGGG